AAGGGGGCAATGGACCCCTCCCATTGCATGCTGTTACCCTACTCCCCCACCCCACAAAGAGGTAGCTTTGTGGGCATTAAGAAAAAGTTGGTTTTGCAATCTCACTGTGGGATGTGTTATAAAGGTTAAGTAAAGATGAACTGTGCATTATCAAAGCAAACGGCCTAATAATAGTTCTGTCTGGGACCAAAAATAGGGTGGATGGGTATGTCAGCTTCCTCTTCCATAGCTCTGACAATGCACCACACACTCCAGACTCCCACCCCCAGTGCTCATTCCTGCCCATGGCAGGGGGGCAGACTAGATGATCTGTCTAGGTCCCTTCCGACTCATCGATTCTGTGACTTGCAGCAACATCTACTAATTCTAGTCCTGAACCGTCCAGTGGCTGCGTGACTCAGACAACAAGCTAGCACTGAATCGTCTCCACCAGTCCGACTTGGAGGGGAACCTTCTTGTGAAATGGTTAAAGGAGTGAATTAATCTACTACCTTAATCTTCCACGAGAATAAAACAGTAGTTAAAATTCCACAGGATCTGCCAATAAAGCAGATATTTAGGTGTATATAAAGAAATACACTGTGCTGGAAGGAGGCAAGAGAGGGGGAGAGACCAGCAGATATGACAATCGAATGATTGGTGCTCAATTTGTGGATTTGAATCCCATCCCAGACTTAAGCTTCCTGGAACCGTACAATGCTTTAATAAAGATAGATGTAATTATTTACACAGATCAGCATGGGACTTCAGCTCCCAGAGAGATCATAGCCCCTCTTCAAACAAACCTGAACACCATAAATATCTACTTGGGAAACATATGGGACAAAATGGGTTTTTGGAACCTCCTGCATTACATGTTTTCCACCATGTCCTTCTGCGTCAGCATCATTTCAATTATGATCACCCTGTGTCCCATTTTAACTGCCCAAAATGAGCAATGGGTTTTTTGAACCTTTTGCCTCCTCTGCCACCCTACTGAAATGGTATGCTGAGGCAAAACAAAGGGCCCCTAAACACTCAACACTGCTGCTCTTTGTTTTTATTACACAAAAATCAAACAAGGGATTAGGAAGCAGACACCTGAGGCAATCATTTCCTCTGTGTGCAGAGAAACTTGCCCTCTAGCAGACTCAATGGGGAAAGTTTAGTTAACAGGCAGGCAACCATAAATGTTTCCTTTGACAGATCTGTTTAATTAATCTGCAAGCAAACACTGCGCACTCAGCACCTCCCATGGCTTGCTACCTTCGACGCTTTCTTGCTTCCTGAAAAAGCAAATTTACCTTGCCCGCCTAGAGGAATTGCATGTTTATATCCAGCCTGTACCTTTACATCCAGGTACAGACTGTTCTGCTTCAATAGCATTTTTGGAGCTCATAATTCATTCTCTAATGCCTCCTATTCAAAGTAAGTCAGCTAAATCAAATAGCATTTTTCCCAGTCCTTCGTTGGGTAGCTAGACTGCCTGTCCACCAGAAAAAGTCCCAAAAGATGCCTTTGTTAAGCCAAATATTGCAGGCACTCTCTGCCAGATGCAGATAACTGAATGGAAGCCCTCCTTCTCTCCTTCAGTTCCTTAAGGAGAATTTTTTCTATTGGCCTTAATCCCACCAACACCCAGAAGACAGCACACCAGCCATATGTTGCCGGCCTCCTCTTGGTACTGAAGGCCGTGTTTCAATGTGGCACCTTCCACCCAGACAGAGAAGGTAAAGCCTTATAACGGGGCTCAAGAAAGGACAAACCTATCCTCAGAATGTATCTCAAGGCAAATATTCAGTGTGATATGATCATCACCATCCAGCTCTGAGAATGCATCATCACTAGATCCCAAAGGGTTTACACAAAGGAGGGAAGGCTCCTTTTACAGTGGGGAAAGTCGAGGCCTAGGGTGGTGAAGTGGTTTGTCCAAGGTCACTTAGCAGATTACTAGGAGTGAAGGAAACCAATCCTAGTTTCAACCCAGTGCTCTCTGTTTGGCAGCACTGCTTCTCCTCCACTCCAAAGATATTTTGGAAGAAGCTTCCATTCAACAGGCCAGCTCTTGTGTTGTGTAAAGATACCGGAGAATTAAAACTGAGCTCCAGCTTGTTCCAATTTGCAGGGGTCCTTAGTCAGAAGTGTAAAAGGACCCTTAGCACCTTACCTAACAAGCTTTTTTCCCCCCTTAGGCAGAAAGCTACTTTGTTTAAAACTGAGGTAATCAGCACTCTGTAAATCCACTGCCAGGTTGGGCATGACTGGATCTCAGTAGCATGCAGCAACATGCACACTTCCAGCAATGCTCTGACAAAGACACAGTATACTTTTCCCATTTTGCAGCTACCAAGAAGACCCGAGAAAGACTACACAGAGGCCTCACTATCCCTTAGATGGGGAAAGCAAACCAAAGTGCATTACTTCTGCTTATGAAGGTCAAAATAAATACATCTTAAATACATCCAGCACCTTGCTATTATTTTTTCAGTATTTAATTAAAGAAAACCATTCAACATGAATGTGAGCTTATAACTGACAATAGCTTTACCATGTGCTGCGGGGATAGGCGCAGTACAATGGCATGTATTAACAGGTTACTGTAGTGTTGTTGCATATATGCCAGGTGCTACCGGGGGTCCCTTTGCATTTACAGTTTTATGCAGCAGAGTTCAGAGCTGCATAGAGCCGGGTGCTGTGTGAAAATGGAGACGCTCCCTGCTAAGAACAGCTGACTCTGCAATGCTTTCTTCTCTTGACACGGAGATATGGTCAGGGCACACCTTAGGCTGTTTGCACTGAATGATCCATTTGGACACTAGGAAGATGTAAAGTAGCAAGACAGCCAAATGTCACCAGAAATGTTTTTCCCTCCTTGGCAGCACGTTTGGCAAAAGGAAGAGCATGCTGAAGGACATACTTCTTTGTATACAATCGCAACAAGAGGAGCTGACAAGCCCTTGCTCGAAGCCTTTATACCTAAAAGTAGTGGATGGCAAATGACTTTAGGTTGTTCTTCTGGTGGCCCAGAAGCACACACGTATTCACCTTCCTGGGGTGGTACAAAGTCTACTCAGTGAATGACAGTAAGGTAGAGTTTTATCTTTGGTTTGAACTTCAAGTTAGCCAGCTTCTCTACTTTGTGAGCATCTAATGGATGCAACGATCAGAAAACTCAAAACAGTGAAAGGACGAAGAAACAGGGGTGGGGGTGTCACAGCCACAACCTAGAAACTAGTTAATTTTATTCCTGGTAACAGTAAAAAAGCCAGCTCTTCACTTGTGGCGTTGGCCTGTTGAAGAAGTGTGAAACAGCCCTGGCTGCGCTGTCCCTCAGAATCTGGGCCCTAAAGTTTGATGTTTTTCAGAAATAGCTCTTTATATACTTTGAAAAATAACCTGAAGACTATAATCCCAGGTGGTAATGGGAGTATTTAACATACTATTTCAGTTGTCTCATACTGTTAGTAAATGGACAAAAAATGAAATCTCTGAACTCTCTAGCTTGTGCATCATATTATACTGTACTTCACTCATCGGTCTCAGTATCAGTATTCAGCAAGGTTTTATAAGCAGTCAGTCCTGAGGCATAATATACAGGGTTGTTCCCCCTCCCCTTCTTAAATCCATCCAAGATTCCCAAAATTGATTCACTGCTTTCTTCATTGACTGTATTTGTGATTCCTTCAAAATTTCAGAGGCTCTATTTAAAAAAAAATCTATTAAATATATTGAAACAATCAGACACTTCATTTCTAATTTTAAAAGCTGCTCTCTCAGCTGAAAGCTCTTTGACAGCTAAGAATTAAGCAACTATTTTAATGTAGATTTTGGCTGCCTTCCTAAATTCTAAAAGTGCCTATACATTAAAAAAATCCCTATTCCCAATACATTTAAAAAACTAAATCCTATCATAGTACAAATGGCTCTTTTCAATAGTTTAGTTTAATTAAAAATGTTAGATTTCAGATGTCAGTTAAAGCTGGATACCAGGTGGAAACACCCACTTGCAACAGGTTTTAACTCTGATCAGCTTATGGTTTCCCCCATCTACTGGTTTCTCCAATGCACCAGCCAATCTTATTAATTTAAACATTAGGCCTTGGCTGTGAACCATCTCCACATTCAATAGTGAAGACAGTGCGTGCATTTTTACCTGAACAGTAAGCTATTACTTACTCTCTGGTTGGATAAGTAAGTTTGCATGAACAGCTTGAGATGAGATGAGATGGGATAGATACTATCCCCCACTCCCACTGCTACATTAGCTCCCCAAAGCAGAGTTTGGCAGGAAAGGACTTGTTCACAGGGTTTCCAACTTATAGAAAGATATTAGCAGCGTTTCACAACTGCCTATGAGTTAACATGAACTAGACCCTTTACTAAATAATACCAATCTGTAAAGAGATTTAGCAACTGAAAGGGGAGGGAAACTCTACCTCTTGCTTGCTATTGCTGCATGAAGAAGTGCTTAAGATAGGCTCCACTTCCCATGAAAAAGGGTGCTGGGGGAAGGGTGCTTAAGAAGTCTGAAAAACGTGTTGCAATATTAAAACAGAAAACAACACTCCAAACCTCCTGCGGTTGATGAAGCTAGGGGAGCACACTGCTAGCTTCCTAGCACAACACAAAAAAGTTAAGGGATGAGAAATGAAGACAATATTCCTGAACTGAGTTTTAGAAGCAGACAAAAAAAAAGACTTAAGATGCTGGGTCCAGCTACTTACTAACTATAAGCTGGTAAGAAAAAGTCTCTGGCAACACTGTCATTAACTTCTGTGCTAAAGGTGGATATCATGACAGTATTAAAACAGCATCTTGCAAAGCTTCCACCTACTAGTTTGTGCCTCTCAAAGGAAAAGGTAAAGTCATTCATGGAAAGATTAAGCAAAGATTAATTAGCAGAGCTTAAGTAATTCACAAGAGAAGGTTAAAGAATACATGCAAATTTCAACAGAGGATGAGGCAAACACTGAAACAACTCAATACAAAAAGTTCACAGAAAATAAAATTCAACCTCAGAATAAAGTTTTCGTAATTAAAGTCCTTTATTTCTTCATTGTTTCCTTAATACAAAGCTTTGGCATCAGCAAATTTTAGGAAAAATAAAATATAGTAAATATAACTGCTTGTGCTGTGTGGATCAATACATGATGCATAAAAAGGTGGGTCTTTCCAAGGCAACCAGTCCAAAAGCATTTCCTTCAATACCATTCTGCTCTGTAGGGTGAAAAAAGGAAATACTAGTATTAATTACAATACTGCTCACAGTTGCATAAAAAGTGTAAAAAAATATCAACGAGGAGCAATTACATGCAGCTACAGAAAATTGTGCAAGGGGTTTGTGCACTGCATATCACTGTTCACATCATGATGAAAATGCATCAGTCATCAGAAAGCCTTAGGGTAACACTGCCAGCGGTTTGAGAGTTGGCTACGAGACTGTTGCGGAATATTCACCTGACACCAAAATGTTTCTGCTAAGGAAGACTGACCAAACATATGGAGGATTTGGATTCTGGAATGTGGTCATGCAGTTACTTTTGGGAGGTCAGTCTCGAGTCACTTCTGAATGCAGAACAAACTGTTCTCATTTCTCCCCTTCCATAAACCCATTATCTAAGAACTGAGAGGAAAAGTACCTGTCAAGTCAAACTAGTTCCTGGAAGATACTCTCTATACCCAGGGAACACCCCACACTATAAATTAAGACCAAAGGGAAGCAGTCTTTTAAACAGCATCTCTTACAGTCATTCCCTTCTAAGCAACTCTGTAGTAGTGATGAGTGGTGTGAAAACAGTATTTTATCTTTTCCATATGCACATGAACACAGAAGGTGTGCCCTAAATCAGATGAGTTTAAAACTGCAGGAAACCTGGGAGAGGGAAGCAGAGGGGAACATCACTTGGAGGGTACTGCTGACTGAGCTCCCTCAGACTATGTCCCATCTTCTACTCATTTCACTCCTCCTTCCTGCTAGTTTCATCTTGGAAGATGAAAGACGACCCTCATGTTCATGCTGAATTACTGGTGTATCAGCTAAATGGTGCAAAGTTAGCCCCAGTTGTTATATGGAGAAGAACACAAGAAGCTTTGCTGCTTTTTCCTCTCTCGCATCTATAACCACCCAGCATTTCCTGCAAATCTTAGGAGAGTCAAGTAGTATGTGGCACAGTGATCAGCAGAGGAGCCTTCTTGTTTGATGTGTAGCATATTAGGTAGCACTTAAGCAATTAACCTGGAACGTTTCACGCACAAGGGACAGACTAGAATGGGGCTGCCTAACTTCACAGATGAGTTGGAAGCTGCTTAGATTTATGGGATCTGACTAGAGAGCCACTTGGGAGGTGGCTGCAGGTGGGGATTCAAGTCACAGGATGGGAGAAAGTGGTGAAATGTTGCCACTTCTGTACTTTCCCCGTTTTCCATTATTGCTACTGTATTTCTGTATTGGAGAAAGATCACTCAGCTCATAAGAAGCTGGTACAAATGCTAGGGAGCTTACCATCTCTCCCTTTTAATCTTGCATACAAACAGTTTTAGCGAGAAGCCACTTTCAGGCAACCCAGCCAGACATACCTTACCACAAATGTGCACGGGTAGTAATCCACTGAAAAGTTTTAACAGAGAGACTTATACCTGACAAGAGAGAGAAGGCACTCCCTCCTCCTCCTCCTGCCATTTCTTCCCAGCGTCGCCTGTGATGCATGCACCAAAACCAAGTATACACATGTATTTTAACTTGTACTTACTCATTAGCATTCAAGCTAGCTGTAGCTTTGATGATCATGTAGCAGAGTGTGAGGGCGCTGAGGAGGCCAAAACTGGCAATAATAAACCATTCTTCTGTTGACAAAGGAAAGGGAGGAAATCACTCGTGGGAGAAGGCTTATGTCAAAGCGATGTCAACATATCCCTCAAACACTGGCAGAAGGCAACAGGGTTTTAAGCCATGACTGGCACCGGGAAGTGAAGCAGAAGGAGGTTAGCCATAGAGTTACTGACTGGAGAAGGCTAGCAAAGAAGAAGTGGAGAGAGGTGTGGAAAAAAGCATGGCACAACAACATCTCCTGACTCAGCCCAAGGGTTAGCGAGAAAGAAAGATCACTTGATGACACGTGAAATGCAAAACAAGGGAGAATGTACATGAAGACTCCTACCTCTCCTACAGTTAGAGAACACTGCTGAGGCTGGCTTTCCTTAGCTCAGACCGTGTCTCTTCAAAAAATACTTGCATGCACACTCATAGAATTCAGCACATTCCTTTTTTCTCCAAAGCAAATGCTTTTGTTCTATTTTAAAACAAAAATCAGGGCCACCCACCCAGTGTTTAAGCATAACTCTCACAAATTTTCTCCAACATGGAAGGAAGTGCTGTTTGAAAAGGAGAGACTTCACCTTTAACAGAATACAAATAGTACATACAGGTACTTTAAAGTGGAAAACCTTGATGCTAATATTAAAAACAGTGGATAACAAACAAAGGCATTATTAGTTGTGATACTCTCCCTTCCTGACAACTTCTACAGATGCTAATAGATTTTGTTGCGGATCTGCATTGCTGAATACATATTTTAGGTTCAACATGAATGTATCAATTAAGGCACACAATGCACAAAGCTAAATGCCTGTACAGCTTTTTTTTAAATTTAATTTATATCCATCAGGGTGAACTGCTGCTTATTTTTCTCAGTTCTTTACTATGGCAACACAGCTGAATGCAGGTAACTACAGCTGAGAGTAGACAGTTAACACACCTACAGTCAAGGAAATTGAGCAGTTAAACTATTCAACTTTGTTGTGGGTAGGCAAGCTTTGAACACTACACAAACACAGACCAGGATTAATTTGTCTTCAAGAGAGATTTGAGTAAGGGATGCACTAGTAGTTGACAGATGCCAGACAAAGACTTGTTGGTTTTGCAAATGAACTCGGTTTGAAGTTTCGATTTGCTCACGAGACCAACACACTTCTGGAACGGATTACACTCGTCAAGACAAGAATAATTTTCTATGGCAAGCTTCCTTTGCTGTAGCATCTGAAGAAATGCTCCAGAAAGGACAGGACTAAAAATACCATCTTAGAGAGCTAAGAATACCAAGCAGTGTCTCTGGCTTCGAGAGGCTGGATGAGTAGTTAGGCAAAATTGTCTCCTTACTTTAAACTGTCTTGAACCATGGACTCTATTTTTTTTTAAAACAGTGAAAGAGAAAAAAAAAACATACCAGCTATCTGTGCATCAAATCACTGCTCTACAGCATTTAGAAAATGATGCAATTCCATGCATACTGTGTAGTATTCACAGAGATCTATTTATACATCAGCAGCCCAAGGTGGAATCTGCTCAGTGGAATTTTCTCCAGTTGCTCCTTTAAAAAGAGGAGCCTGTGAACAATTTGGTCAAGCAATTCAGTAGTGGTCTTCTGAGGCCATGAAATTCCTAGGTTATGCAAGGTTCAGAAGCCTCAACATCAAATGCAACAAATTACAAATTAAAAGGGCAAGCGTAACAAACGTCAGCCTTTTAGATCTCTGTTGCCAGCAAAAGAATTTTCAAATGCAACACAGAAATTGCAAAAGGGTTTGTTTGTAACAATGCTAATTTAGAACCAGCTAACCAGTTAAGCATCTGCACAATATATTTTTAATATAGTAAAACAGTAGAAGCAACCAAAACTTCCCAAACTAACTGTCAAATTCAGTTTGTATTGAACCCTGCTGTATGTTTGTTCCATGTTATATGAAGAATGTACATATTAATAATAAGCATTTGCAATGTAGCCCCCGATTTAATTAGTTTAATTGAAAAGTGTGTACTTTTCTTGTATGAACAGAGTGATCACTTTTATCTCTGTAAGGCAGTGATTCTCAATCTTGTTAAAGTTCAGGCCCCACCTCTGAAAATGCCAGCTTTTAGTTTTCACTCATTTTTTGACTATGCAAAAAACAGAGTTTTTCTGTTGCAATGAACTCAGAAAGACCGTAATGGTTCAGAATGTTTTTAGCACTCTGGATTCCTATTTGAAATCCTTGGGTTTATATTGCGAATCATGTTTGCACATCTAACAGAGCTAATGTTGTGTGGCACCCTCAAAAGGATGTTATGGCACCCCAGGATTCCCTGGCACCTTGATTGAGAATCGCTGCTGTAAGGAAATCTTTACCACTGCCCTGGTGTGCAGAAACACAGCAAAGCAAACCACAGAACTCAAATGAAGGCCAACCCCCACTTACTTGTTACAGCAATGTTGATCTCCCCTGACCGTGGGGTCAGTTCCCCATCCTGTGGAAGCTGTGACATGCCAGATGTGCGCAAAGGCTCAAGGCTGAGCGAACTGTCATTGGCAAAGTCACCAAGTGCTGATCGTCTGTTGGGTGGCTGGCCTCGGGTGAGTCTTTCCATGTCAAAAGCTACGTTATCTGTGCACGGCACGTTTGGCTGAAAAACAGTATTTCCACAATAAAACGCTAGACTTTCTACGTGTGGGCAGCTTGCAAAGTCACATATTTCCCCTTTATCCAAGATTGTTTGAGAAAGCTTTCTAAACAGAGAAAACACCAAACAATCTGTAACAGTCTCTCTATAACAGACAGTTACCTCTTCACTTTCAAGCAGGAACCCTGAAGAGAAGCATATACAGGTGAGAGAGGTCCAGATCATGAGTCAGGAGAGAGTTGAATAGGCTATGCACAACACCTAATTTACCTAACAGCAAGTTTACTTCCGTCAACCATGAAACCAGATTCTCTCTGCACTCTCCTTGCACAGTGAAGCTATAACAAAATGCTTGTCAAATCCTACCGTTTCTCCTTTAACAAACTTGGTTGCGTTAATCACAAAAAGCACCTGCCCACAATGTGCCATGTGCAGCTATTTCTAGAAAGTATCTCTGGTTTGCCATTAAAAAGGCTAGAAATATAGGCCCAATTTCTTCTGTGTCATGCTTGACTTGATAGCTGCTGTAAGCATGGAATGAAATTTCTCCTTACCCTTACATTTCTTGCTATGCCTTTCCTCACCTTCTTTATTAATCCCTGTGACAAAAGCATTCACCTCTGTGCTCCCCAGACAGAAACGTCTCTTGGGAGGCCACCGTCAGAGACAGAATGTGGGGCTATATGGACCTGTGGACTGATGCACTACAAAAGGGCTCATTGACAGCATTCCAGTATGTAAGTGTTAAAGGGAACAGCAATCAACTGGTCACTTTGCCCACTGGAGTAAGAGAGAAAGAAACTGGCTTGATTTTCAGTGAAATACATTTAGGTTATGTATCAGGAAAACATTTCTAATGATAAAAATAGTGAAGCACTGGATCAGGCCAGCTAGGGAGGCGGTGGAATCTCCCTCACCAGAAATTTTTCACAACAGATCAGTGATGGGCTAGGACTATGACCCTGAGATCCCTTCCACCTCTGCATTTCTGTGATTCTGTAAAACTTGAACAAAATGAAGGTCACAACTATGTAACTTACCACAATTCCCAGTGCCTTCAAAATGTTCAGTTTACACATGGGACAGGTACAGTGCTCACTTAGCCAAGGATCCACACAGGCTTTGTGGAAAACATGCCTGGAAACAAGTAGATAAAGACAAGATTATAAGCAAACCTGAAGAGAGATTTGTATAGTATGTATGAACCAGTTAAACAGAAACAGTGAAGAAGTCTGCTATAAAAACTAAAGACAACAAAAATACCCATCAACCATCTAACAGACCCCATGGTCAGGTACAGATATTATACTTTTACTGATATAAGAGTAATCAGAAACTGGTCTATACTGGTAACAGAAGTTCAGCACACAAAGCCAGTCTATACCCGTAACAGAACAGAAGTTAGGCACACAGAGAATGGCTCAAAAATGGTGGAACCCAGTCTAAGATTTGCCGCCCCACCAAAGGGTGAACATGTGCTCTGTTCGCTCCTGATCTAAACTATGCTGCTTACAGAAAACTGCACAAATTAGATTGATTCTGCCTCAGGCTTTTTGAAGTCTGCACCTAGAATAATCAACAGATGGGCTGTGCTGCTTGGACCAAAGAAATCTGATTTGGCTTAGAAACAAGGAGTTGAGGGCGGACCTCAAGAACCATGTAGTCCACTGTGGGGCCAACCTTTTTGGCAGGTGTGCTACAAATTAGCCCTGCACTCCAAGTGCAACTCTGATCCCCTTCCCCATGCTGCTGTTCCCCGCCGAATCTGCTTTGCACTACTTGTCCCCTACCTGATCTGCTGCACGACCCCCCCCTCCCCCCACACACAAACACACAGGCTGTGTGGCAGATGTAGCTCAGGTTGGTCATCCTGATCTAGTTCAACCCTTCCCAGCCCAGCCCAGCGACTATTTTGTAGGGGTTCCACAACCTCCCTACACATTTTTTTCCATTGTACTACAGCTCTTAAGACTTCCCTGAGATCTAACCCAAATCTCTTCTGATACAGTTTAAACCGACTGCTTTGTGTTATGCTCTCTATACCCTCACTGTTGGATCTTGGCCATTTTTTTCCCCAGTGGTAGCCATTCAAATATCTGAAAACTGCTCCGTGTGTCTCCCCCACCTGCCTTCAGCCTCCCTTTTTTCCAAACTAAAGCTTTCCTAGTTCCTTGCTTTCCAAACCCATTACCTTTGCCACTTGTATTTGGGTCCTCTCCAGTTTCTCTACATCCTCCTTAAAAAGCAGTTCCCCGGCATTGGGTACAGTACTCCAAGTGAGGCCACAGAAATCACTACTCTCGGATATGACTCTCTCTGCTTACCGACTAGATGATGACCAAACCAAATCCCAAGACCCTTGCTCAAAATGCAGCATCTCTTCCAGTACAATTATATCTACCCTGTTGGGAGGCAAGGTATATTGGTTTGGCTGGAGCACCACACTCATGCAACTACACTGCTTCTGGTATCCAAACTAATTTAGGTATCTCTGCATGTCACTTCACTGTGTTGTCAGCACACTCTAGGGCTCTTCCAAGACCCTGTTCCCAATGAAGCAGTGAGAGCAGTGTCATTAGAAGTCAAATTTATCTTTATATATCTGTTCTTTTTTTAAAAAGTAATTTTAAGTAAACCAAACACACCAGAGCTTATTTCTTTACTGGCTTTTGTCACTCTCAAAAGGTATGTAAAAATACCTTCTGAGAATTGGAAAGGACAAGTCAACTACCACTCCATTATAAACAGATCTTCTGAAGACAAGAAAGCAACATGGGCTTCTACTTGCACAGCAGGAAAGCTGCATTGGATGATGGACCTGAATGGCTTGCAGAAATTTATTTTCAGATCTATTAAAATAAGGGTCACAGCACTGGTTTAATGTAACCATAGGAGTGGAAAAGGTTGCTAATAACACACTTAAGCAAAGGGGTGCCCTTGGCTTTACTTGTGGCACATTTCTGACTGTGTAGGCGTGGCAGGAACTGGTACCAGCAGCTTTTCTACCTTGTACAGCACTGTCATGGACTAAAAATAATCTACTCTAATCTATTCCTTTCACAAGTCCCCATGTTTAGAAAGGAGGCAATTCTTTTCTAGCTGCTCTGAATGCCGAAGTCAAGCTACTAATGTGAACAGGTCTGATTTTGAATGAACACAGACCGATGAAGTGAGAATTGCTGCTAATTGAGAAGCAGCTTTGTTCTGACATCTCAGTGAGGGAAGAGGTAGCAGCTCAAGCAAGATGATCTGGCTATTACACAACCCACAGAGGGCTGTGCTGGCTCCCAGAGCTGCTCAGAAAAAGGGGAGTGGGAACAGAAGACGTTTGCCTCCTTCAGGTTGTACTTGTGTCACATGGGACTAGGCTCAGCATGGAATTTGGGCCTATATTAAAAAGAGAAGCACTGTTCTTGATTTCAGATTCTCCTTCCCTACCGAGGGAAAATTTTGAAGTGGATTACAAGATGCATCACTGGGAAGCTACCTTGCAAGACTCCAGTAAGTCATGCTAGTAATCTACCCCAGAAATCATTATTAAAAACAGAGAAGAAGTACATGTGATAGCAATCTTTCTTGTGTTGATAGCATGAGCGTCGGGGATTACAGTTCATCACTAGCATTAATTTCCAGTTTACTACATGTGTGCCAACCACCAGACTTAAGCAAAGGTGCACATGCACAAGTAGGGGCCTAAACTGATGTGCAGAAAATTATCGAAAGAGAAGGTTTTAGCCTGACATTTCCAGACAAGGTTGAATTTGCAGGAGAGAAAGAAAGAGAAGGGGAAGGAGAAAGAAAGAGAAAGAGAAAGAACGAACATTCCTGATATATGATCAGAGACAGACATATGAAAGCTTGTAATATTACCTGCAGTCAATTTTTAGAACAAAGCCATAGTTTCTGTATTCATGGGCTGGTCTGCTACATGGCACGGAGAGCTGAGCTAAAGATAGTTGGTATGCACGGTATTTTGAAGGTATGAGACTTGCACTTCCTTGGTGAAACAGTGCCTCTCCTCATCAGCTTGCCTGGTCTCTCTACTTCCCTCCCTAGCATTCTTAATAAGGCAATGTACACTGAAGAAACATCCATGCAAAAAAACCAGGATATGTTTCTTGCTCAGCTTCAGAGTACTGTATTAAAAAGATGCTTGTTTCTGATGTCGTTAGCTATTAACCTTTTCTGTTTATCACTTGTGGGAGCACAGAAAATGCTGTTCAGCAGTCCCTTGGGGGTAGGAATTGACTTGCAATCCAGTGGTACACAATTATGTTACTGTGGCATCTTAGACAATTTATTGCTGTTAGTTACTTACATTTCTTTTTAAAACTCCACAGTTGGGTTTGTAGAGGGGGGCATACATTCCTAACAATCTAATATTTTGGGAAAATGGCAGACATCAAGACATCAGTATGAAAACAGATTTAATATGTTGTTACCAGCTGATCAGTGCTTAGCGCTATAAAGCACACAGATCAGATTAGGCACCGTGTGATACGAATTCCAATGCATACCTAGCAAATGGTATATGACTGTATGCGTAGCCTGATAAGATTAAAAAACACCAGATCACCTGAACTCCTTTTCTGACCTCTTTGCTAATTGTTCTGAAACCTTCTCAGCTCTGGGGACCTTTATCAATATTTTCCAGAAATCACAGTCCAACAAAAGCTTTTATTTATATTAATCAGTAGGGGGTTGTTGTTTTTTTTTCTCTCCCTAAACATATCTTGCTGGCATTGATGCTATGGATCAGGCTCTGCTTGGGGTTTTGCTTAATTGAAGAGCAGATACAAAACGACAGCGATAATGACAAAGTCTGTAAAGGTCCGCATGAATGAGAGTTTGTGCTTTTTCCATCAGAAAAAAAAAAAAAAAAAAAAAAAAAAAAA